AAAGGTTTCAAGATGGAAAAAGTGAAAGCTAGTGAAATAAACTTCACTGCTTCAAAAGACCTCTTTCTTTAAAGAGATCATACATCGCCGCTCCGATCTTAGCCGGAGATTCAACAACCTTCACTCCCGCATCATTTAAACTCTTAATCTTGTCCTGAGCCGTACCTTTACCACCGGAAACAATGGCTGCAACAGAAAAAACAAAAACCAGAGACTCAAGTGAGTTAGAGCAACCAACTACCAAAAGTAATACTCCTGGATGGCTGATGAAAATACCTCCAGCATGACCCATTCGGCGACCCGGTGGAGCAGTAAGTCCAGCAATAAAAGCAACAACAGGCTTATCAGTACCACTTTCCTGTTTATATATTAATCAAAAACCCAAAAATTGAGTTTTACTTTTAATAATGAGAATAGAGAGATGGAGAGTTGAAAGTGATTCGCAGTGGTTTATTACCTTTATCAAAGCTGCGGCATCTTCTTCTGCAGTGCCTCCGATTTCGCCAATGAGAACAATACCTGAAACAGCACGCGGTTTAGTAGTTTCCATCTTTCGGGAACAAAAGGTAAAATCTTTCAATTAAGCTACCAACTGCACTAAGAAAAGAGAGGAACTAAAGGAATCGAAGCTTTTCTAATACAAGAATCTTGCAGTCTGAAGAGACCATGTGGTCATTCTACTACATGATCTTTACGGTTAATCTGTTTAGCGGGAATAATGCTTTTGGAAAAACCGTGAAACAGGGTCAAGATAAAGTTAAATGACCGGAGTTCAAAAACATTACCTTCTGTTTGAGGATCAACAAAGAATTTCTCCAAGCAGTCGACAAAGTTTGTCCCGTTAAAAGGATCCCCACCGATTCCTACACAAGTAGATTGACCAAGACCCACTGCAGTTGTTTGGAAAACCTGCATGAAAGTTAAAACGAACGCAATGATTTAGAAATCCTAAGAAAAATAAAGCCTTTATCAAAATCCACAACCATGTTCAATTAGTGAAAATAAAACCAAGAACCATGTGCAATCTAACCAAGGAGTAGTATATACTGAAAAACAAAAATAATTTTCTAAGAGTATGCCAAGGCCAAAGGCTATGGTGAAAAATAACTTGGGCGAGATGGAGACAGATAACAAAACATCAAAGCAAGAGCCGCAAGACATAAAAAAAAGACCTTACAGCTTCATATGTCAAGGTTCCAGATCGAGAGACAATTCCAATCTTCCCAGGCTTGTGGATGTATCCCGGCATAATTCCAATCTTGCATTCACCAGGCTTGATAATCCCAGGGCAGTTTGGACCAATCAACCTAGTTTTCGATTGACTGTTAAGAGCATGCTTTACACGTACCTATATGAGAACAGCACAAGTTCCAAGTCATAGAGATAATCAGAAGAGCCAATCACATGAGTACTGCAAACAATCGAAGGAGATAACCAACAAAATCAAAGGCATCATGATGATGATGTTTACCATGTCATGTTGAGGGATTCCTTCGGTAATGCACACAATAAGATCTAATTCAGCCTCAATACCCTCCATAATCGCAGCAGCAGCAAAAGGCGCAGGAACATAGATCACAGAAGCATTTGATTTCGTCTCAGCCTTAGCTTCAGCAACAGAGTTGAAAACAGGTAGACCTAAGTGTTCTGTTCCACCCTTCTTCGGTGTCACTCCTGCCACCTATTACAGAGCAAAAACACAAACACAAACAAACTAAATTAGCAAAAACAAGAAGCTTTAAAACAAATCATCAACAACACAGAAAAAAACCCCATTTCATCTCTAAGCTCTAATGGAATCTTAGTGATGAAATAGCAAAAGACTAGTGTGTGCTCATGGTCTAAGAAGTCAGAGAATTCGCAGGTCCTAACCTAGACATTTCAATAACACTTTAATCAGCTAGAAACGAGAATAACACTAATCAATGCAATTCTATTCATGTCAAACTCAATGAAGAAACAACAAATCCGAAGAACAAAAAAGATTTCTCAATAGAGAAACCTACCTAGCAAAAACGAGAACAACCCTAAACCAATCTGAATTCCGTTTCGATTTCATCTGTAAATCAAAATCGGGAACAATGGAGAAATACCCAATTCGAAATTGAAGAAGAAAACTAAAAAAAAGTTCCATGATTTTACCATTTTGGTGCCGTACTCAATGGCTTGTTCAGTGTGGAAAGTCCCGTTCTTTCCGGTGATACCTTGACACATGACTCGGGTGTTTTTGTCAACGAAAACCGCCGCAGGAGGCGGAGGATCCGACGCAAAGCAGCGAGATTGGATCAACGAACTGAGAGATTGGCACGACGGAAAAACCTCAGAGCCGCCGCTAGAACAACGGCGAGCTTTGGAGGATAAAGATCCGAGAAGCCTTGTGACTTGCCTAGACATGATTATGGCTTACCGATCGGAAGCAACAAGAGACTCCGATCCGAATCAACTTGTGGAACCCTAAACTGTGTGAAGGCGAAAACGAAAATGGAACAAAGACAATTCAGCGAGCTTTTTTGGTTTTGAAGAATCAGCAGATCAAAAGGCGACAAAAGAGGCTTCTTCCTCTAAAGGCTACACTTTTCAGAAATTTAGCCCAAACCCAATATTTCTTGAAAAATTTAGAAAAACGCTATTGCAAAAATATCACATTTATTAAATTTTTATAAAATGACACT